TATATAAATTGATGCCTGTTCTTCCTGCCAATGATTTCATTTTCGCAAGCTTTCATAATATGGCTTCAAAGTTTTAAATTTGAAACTCCGTTTGATAAGGAATTCGAGAACTGTAAAATGGCGTTTAAAATTATAAAATAGGAACAATAAATAATTGAAAAAAAAACGCCATCGGTCGTAATTGCAGTTCTTTTTTGAGGGAAAATTGAGTATAATATATAAATTGATGCCTGTTCCTCCTGCCAATGATTTCATTTTCGCAAGCTTTCTTATATGGCTTCAAAGTTTTAAATTTGAAACTCCGTTTGATAAGGAATTCGAGAACTGTAAAATGGCGTTTAAAATTATAAAATAGGAACAATAAATAACTGAAAAAAGTGCCATCGGTCGTAATTGCAGTTCTTTTTTTGAGGGAAAATTGAGTATAATATATAAATTGATGCCTGTTCTTCCTGCCAATGATTTCATTTTCGCAAGCTTTCATAATATGGCTTCAAAATTTTAAATTTGAAACTCCGTTTGATACTGAATTCAAAAACTATAAAAGTTATTTAACAATTGCAAAATTACCAAAATTGCAAAAAGCGACAACGACCGCAATTAGAGTTTTTTTATTGAGGGTAAATTGAATTCAATATATCAGTTTGTGACAAGCTTTTGCTTAATTTTAATATAGACACACATTTCTTTATTGCCCAAAACATACATTTAAAAAATATTTCCTCTTTTGATTTCTAAGAATTTTAATCCATTCATTATATTGAATACAAGGTTAGAAATTCTAAAGCCATTCTATTGACTATCATAATTATGTTGAACCACATACTATTATTTAAACTTGCTGCTTTCTATTAAGGTAGCTATAGCGGCTAGTTAAACCACTTTATATCGCATTTCTTTAATTTGATGAAGCAAAAATCTGTTTCAAATTGAACCTACTTAAAGTTGCAGCAAGTTTGCAATCTATTGTGGTCCAAAGTGTCGATTTTTCTTGGAATACGTAATTATTAAAAGCGCATATTAATTTATTTTAAATGTTAAAAGGAAGAGTTTTTACGTCCTTCAATTATAGCTTTAAAAAAGTTTGTGCTAAGATCCTGAAATTCAAAGAGCGGGAGCAAAGTGCAATTTTAGCTGTGATCCTTAAGAATTTGTTCAAAAAATCTATTAAGTCTGTTCAGGATGATGTATGGAAGTAGAATTTTTCTCATAAGATTATCATTGCTGAAAATCAAACTGCAGACTGCCGACCGGCCTGTGTAGGGGGCAGGGAACTGTCCTAGCATCAGAAAGGTCCTGGGTTCGAATCCCGGGCAAGGCATGGATGTTTATTTCTTTCTCTCTGTGTGTTCTATGTCCTTTCTCCTTTGTGTGTGAATGTGTGAGAATATGACCCGCCCTATAAACGGGTTGTGGTTGTGTAAATGGCGTGGCAGAAGTCGAATTCCTTGCCATAGATGGCGCTACTGAAAAACAGGAACAATCGCACCCCACTGACTATACGACACACACACACACACACACACAAAAAAAAACTGCAGACTATTCCTTTTTCTTTCAATTATTTAAAAAGTAATATAAGTGATGCTTGATGGCTTACAGCTCCGTTTAACCATTTGTATTTAAAAATTTATTATATTTGATTCATAAAGGGAGGTAAGAGCTCAAGTAAGACCTAGGTGGATGGCTTGTGAGTTAGACGTCTCTGAATCAGTATTTTTTTAACCCTTAAGTAAAACTGAAAACTCACGTTTATTTTGCTTTTATTTACGATTCTAAATGATGGCTCAGGAAATACTGTACTCGGGAAATTCGAACCTGGGTCACTTCAATTGGAGGCAAGTTTGCTTTCAAACAAAGTGACCGAAGTTCAAATTCTAGTGATGGGCCGGGATAGCCTGGTTGGTAGGGCACTGGGCCCATGTCCAAGAGGTCGTGGGTTCAATCCCCGCCGTCCAAAAACTCCCCGTGTTGTAAATGGTGATTGATGCACGTTAAATATGTCGAGTCACAAAGTCTTCCATGTTCCCATAACAAATCAAACTTCTGGGGGTACTGATCCTCGAGTTTCCTTGTTTTCTGGATTGGGTCAAAATTACAAGGCTACGGAGTTGAACATTAGTAGTCGTAAACCCAAGATTGGGTCGGCTGTTCAACGATGGTTATGAAATAAAATAAAATTCTAGTGATGGCTAGTCAATCAGAATTCAGCTCTGGTGCTGACGTAAAATATCTTCAGTGGTAGAAGGATCATGAGACGGACTCTTGCCGTCGGGCTAACGGTAGGAGGTTTTTGTGATTATCTTTTCCTTGTGACCCGATTGCAGGTAGATCTATCAAAAAATCTTCCCCAAAGGTTAGTTTTTATCAATGATTGATTCAGGAGGTTCCTGGTCTTCTGTGTTGAACTCAAAATTACAAGATTATGGGTTGAATATCTAATTCTTAGAAGTTTACCGCGATAAATAGCATTATTTCTAGTGCCAAATGATGATTATAGAATATTTCATCTTTATTTTAATGATTTGAACAAATTAAATTTAATCAAGCAAAGCTACCGGCGAGGGCAATAAATAATAATAAAAACAATTTTGAATTTTTTAACTGCGTCAGTATACATCTATGAATTTCGTACTGCTTACCGTTGATTAATACTCATTCATCGAATACTTACTCTTTTTTAAAGCAAAGTACGATGAGCGGATATTTTGGTACCAGTGTAGTGGATACCAGTCTAGTGGATTCTAGAATCAGAATAGTGGACATAAAAATATAATGAAACCCATTGAAGCCCAAGTTGAATCTTTACAATAATATATTTTGTTTAGTTGTGTAAAATGTTGAAAAATCAAACTGAATGAACTAAAAGTTTTTTTTTTTTGTTGAAAGAATTTAAAAGGAAAATACGACCCAAAAGCTTTATTTTATTTAAAATATATAAAAATTTATCAAGCGAAACGCATGAAATTATATTGATTTAACATTCAGATAAAAAAGAATAATTAAAAATGTTTTATGAGGAAAAAATATTTCATGTGATGCATTTTTAGAGCTGTACCTATGATAGAACTAAGGGAACTGAAAATGAAGTATGCCTGTTTACTATATCGTGTCAAGGGGAAAAATAATTAAATTTAAGTCTGATATTGAATATTATTGGCCTTGGATAATATAAAACGATTTGAGGAATTTGTTTTGGCAAACTATCAAAGTGAAAAGTGAAAGAACATTATCTCAACTATTAACATTTTATGACAGAAATAACAATTATTGTCCATTTTCGTGACAGATAATCCATAAATAAGCACTCAACTGTTTTATACTATGGAAAAAAAACAAGAAAAAAAAACTGAGCTGTTAATGATTGAAAGGGGATGATTTCCGTATTGCGCCAAAATGATCGCCAAATTGCGGCAATAAAGAGGCAGACGCAAATTAAAAATTTTATTTATATATATATATATNTGTATGTGTGTGTGTGTGTGTGTGTGTGTGTTAGATGATGAGATTATTTTGTTTTTCATTGCTTTTTTTTCTGGCTTTTTAATTTTTTTATCAAAAACATTTTACTCTAATAATTTTTCTTCTTCTCTTTTCATTAATCTTTATTACATGTTTTTTCTATGTTTTTAATGTATGTATAAATTTATTGCAAGCACAAGAACCAGGCAGTGATATTTTGAAAATTGCAGTTGGCGCAAACAGGTGCCGGTATGGAAGAATACTAATAATATTGGAAAGATTCCCAGTAATCTGGTAACTCAAGTAGAAGTGAAGTTATTATGCCTAGTCATAATTCAGATTTAATTGGACACCAGTCGTATCTGATTGTCTTCTGAATCAACAAATGTCACGATTTACCACTGATGACATCACTAGCAGATATCCAATTGTTGCTTCAAGTTTCAAAAATAAGAATTAAGTACGAATGAGTTATTCTTTAACTGAGCATAAGAAAAATTAACTTGAATCTAAATAGGGGGAAAAAAACTTACTACTATAGGTTGTTATGGTTCCGCGAGCAAGAACAGGGACAAAAAAAAAAGAAAAAAGTCTTGAGTATTTCCGAGTGTTTTCTCATGTTAAGTTACAGTTTTAGGGAATTTCCGCATTCATACGTTAATTAAAAAGAACATAAATGCATAAATTTAAAATTGGATTTATGGCTTACAATTTATTGTAATGTTAAAAACTGAAAACGAAACACTTGCCGAATATTTGATCAAACCACGAACGGAGAAGCAAACTTTATAGCATGAAAAGTAGATTTTTAATATGCAGATTAATTAATGTTACAAAATTACTATGAAATCAAAGATAGTAATGTGCTTCTTTGAATAAACATACCCTTTTTTTTTAGATGGATTCGGCTTTTTGGCCCACTAAATATGAATCAGGTAAATATGCACAGTCTTGTTATGAGAACGGTCCTAAGTTTGACTAGCTCAATGATAGTTTTAACGTTTTGCATATTTCGTCATGCTTGTGAAACTGTTTAAACAAATCAGAAATGTTTGCTTACAATTATACTTGTTTATCCTAAGATAATTCCAAGTAAAAAAGTAACTTTTTCGAAATCGAAAATTTTAATAAATAGCTTCTTAACAAGAAAACTTCAAAAAAAGTCGTTAGTTCTTACAAACTGATTGACAAATTTTGTCTGTCTAAAATTGAATTTCTTTTTCTTTTCTTTTTTTTTTTTTTTNTTTTTTTTTTTTTTTTTTTTTTTTTTTTTTTTTTTTTTTTTTTTTTTTTTTTTTTTTTGCAAGCATTAGTGGATGGAAAAGAAAAAACAAAAAAATTTCAACTTACAGAAATTTTACAAATTTTGTCTAAAATATAACTTTTTTTTTTTTTTACAAAGCATTAGTAGATGGAAAAGAAAAAAAAAGAAAATTTCAACTTACAGAAATTTTTCAAATTTTGTCTAAAATTTTACTTTTTTTTCTTAAAGCATTAGTAGAAGGAAAAGAAGAAAAAAAGAGGAAATTTCAACTTACAGGGTTCATCTGTTCCGTTGTATGAACATTTTTTCAAGAAACTAATATCAGATGAGACGTTTTGCTGACTCGTTGCTAAGCTTTCAAGCGCCTTTTTGTCCAACTGAAAATAAAAAAATACAGGATTATAAAATAAAAGTATACTTTATGGCTGAAAAAATTAAACATTTCATTCCTTGGGAAATTATAGGAATTTTTTGCAATCTATAAAGGGAAAGAAATTACAAAAATGATTATATAATAGTAAAACATTCTTGAATAGGTTTTACGTTGAAAAAGTTATTCACAGTAAAAATATTATTTTTGAGTTTATTTAAAATTATAACTTAAAGTTTTTGAATTCTTTAAATAAAAAAATATTTAAAACTAATGACTATAAATGAGTTTTTTATGTGGTGGTAGCTTATTTAAGTTCTTAAGCAAGTATTGTTTTTTTATTGGGATTTTAGAAAATTTTCTAAAAACAGGGGAATTTTTCATGCCAGTAAAATTAACAGTTTACACAATGCTTCGAAAAATATATTTCGCAAAAAATATATTTTGTATATATATATATATTTTTTTTGCTTAAATATCAACTTGCCACTTTTAAAAGGGTAATTTTTTATTCCTTTCTTGGGTGAGATAGTATAAATTTTCTGTTAATGGTGAAAACACTTTGTATACTATAGATTAAAACTATATTACCCTTTAAACAAGCTGGAAGTGAGTCGATTGTTAGAAACAAATTGTCAAATAGAAGGGATAAAATATTAGATTTATAAACACATCTCCCAACCGGGACCAAGCACTTTGTAGCGTTTCTACCACTACAAAAATATAATTCCAATTCACTAGTATATAAGACACGCTAACTCGATTCTATGTTGGGGTACCTTTTTGTAGATGAAGGTAGACATTGTCGAATTATACTCTCCCCCCATTGGTGACCTTCGGACGTGATGTGAACACTCCTACCTTGGCAGAAACGCCCACTAAGATTTGAACACGCCTACTTCGATGGATAGTCCACATTGAATCGTTGACTTGCTACTTGTGACTGCGATATTGTCCTCCTCACGCTGTTGCTTATCAGTCTCAATCACACACAACGTATACACTCGATTGCTGAAGGCAACACATAAGCGACCACGACCGTAAACTTGATACAGCTCTCACGATCAGCACTCAAAAGTAAGGTGATCTTAATACAGCTCTTCCGACTTCTCACAAAACAGCAATGAATCAACTAGTGGTATCCGTTTACCGAATTCTATCACAGATATAATTCTGGTGGGGGAGTACTGTAGTGCTTCTACCACTACAAAAATATAATTCCAATTCACTAGTATATAAGACATGTTAACTCGATTCTATGTTGTGGTGTCTTTTCACAGAGGAAGGTTGACAATGTCGAATTTTACTCTCCATACACACTTAGCCCTTTCAGGGCTTTGTCTTTCAACAATCTAGGTAGAAAGGCTACGTAGTTATGACCCCGGAAAGACGACGGGGATAGCACCTGAGCAACCCCTTTATCTAAATTTACACACTTTAACCTACGAGAGGACATTCAGTCACGGCAGATTTAACTCTCACCTTACTACAAATACACGCCCGTAGTTTAGTCGACTGCCAGAGTCGAACTCACAATCCCCAGCTCTCCGCCAGCGGTGTTAATGACTCCCCAACCGTCTGCTCAAACGAAGCTCACGTAAATTGGTACATGTATATCACCCAAAAAAATCTACGAATACTCTTCAACTGGGACGTTTTCCCGAATCTTCGGTAAAGGTAAATTTAGATCCCCTTCGGAAATTCGGATGCTTTTCAGATCCTAAAAATCCTTATCTCAACCCCTTCCTTCTCGCTCCCGTGAAAATGATGGGGTGAGGTTTCGCCCTCTATTTCTCGCTCCCGTCGTATTTCTGGTCAGCAGTATTCAGTAGTAACGCGCCAATAAAAATAAAACTAATTAATTTCTTTCGCCCGGGAAACATTTCATTTCCTATTCTACACACCAAATGGCAGTGCCAGGATATTTTTAAGGTAATTGTAGATAGTTAGTTTATTTTAAACTAGATGTCAGCACTAATCAAATACGTGTATTTGTACAGGATAAAAAAAATAGGCACTTTTATGACCGTTTTCTTGAAAATTAACCGATCACTAAGGGGCTAATTACTAAAATCTCATTTGCGTTTCTGTAAAATAAGTACTCACTGCAATATTTGAAAATTTCTGTTTCTTCTACATTATTTTTGTCAATGCTAGAGTTTGTCGCTGCAGGACACGAATGTTTGTAATCGTGAGGAATTCTATCTTTTTATTAGCTTAAAAATATAAACCCATCTTAACGGAGAAGTGCATGTCTAAAACTAACTCTCATTTGCTTTACGCAAAAGAAATCCGGAACAACCTCTCACGGTTTGCCCGATGTCACTTAGATGATAAATTATTAATTTAGAGTGAAATACCTGTACAATGAGTGATGTGGCTGGTTTTGTGATTTGTTGCAAAAATCCCGTTTGTTTTGCTCCTTCAACGTGATGCCAGTCCCCTGTATCCATGATGGCTCCAGTTAGACTTTCTAAATATCCTAAAAAAGAAAACTTTTATTGATGAGAGTATACAAAATAAATTCTTTTCAACCTTTTAGAAACGGGAAGATAAAAACACTTATTTTTTTCAATAATATAAACTACTATATTTGTTATAATTTATAACTCTAAAACTACATGATAGTAATCAATAACTTTAAGCTAGCAAAAATATAAACATAAGCAGACCGTCTCAGTTTGGGAAATTCATAAGATGACAATAATTTTTACGACTCTCCTTGCTAAATTTTGGATCAAATTTTTATTTCTTTCAAAAGATTAATAATGGCGTCATAGGAGAATATACTACATTTCCTCCCTAATTTTTCATAAATTTATCTCCATTTTTTAATTTCTTAAATTTTTCTTTGCATAAATCTTAAGAATTTTATTGTTTTGCAATTAAATTTCTAATTATTTTTTGGCGACACTGTACAGCAATTTTTTTTCTGTCCTTTAGATGAAACTGTCTGATTCTAATTAAATAAAAGGGACTTGATCACACATCAATGCCTAAATGGCATTGGAGGAAATGGATGGGAAAATCTCCCAACTCTTGGATATTTTGCTTCCAAATGAATCAAGAGCATCGAAATTTCGTGAAGGTATGGTTTGTCCAATCTAAGAACTCCTCCCGCAACAAAGTCAAAGCCCTCTGATGCTATGGAAACAAGAATGGCGCATTTTAGGGAGGGTAGCTTCACTTAAGAACTAACACAATGGGCCGAAGCTATTCCTTTTCCTTCGCCGACCCGAGCCGAAACCACTCCAGAACAGTGACCCTGCACCCCTACTTGAAATAGTCATACCTGGTTACCATAGTTACCGCCACAGCTCCAGACTAATGTCTGGGGGAGTTCTTGTTTTAGACAAACTATTGATAAGGCATTTGTCGCCAAGGTCACCAAGCTGGTGATGTTTCTACTGTCAATGAGAGTGCCTTTCCTTTGCAAGTAAGTTGTTATTGTGCTCTGTTAAAATACGTAAAGCCGCCAAGTTATGTGAATTTTTGGGAAAAACGGTGCATTCATTATTTTCAGCCAAACGTATACCAGAAACACACACTAAAGGTAGAAATAAAAGATTTTGTGAGCACATTTAAATTATAAATAATATTAAATTTTATGATTAACCACTACGAAATAGCCAGGAAATAAGAATTAAATTATTATTTTTTTAACATTATTTCTGGGTATTTTCCTACAGTTTTATATACAGTATTTCATTTTGCACATTTTTAGAATAATTTTGAGCAGAAAAAAGTAGTTTTTCTTTTTAGGAAAAGCTAATGTGGATTAATATTTGCAGCAATAAAAATGTTGACTTTACCAGTGGCGACCTCCAGCGGTAGAAGGACGATGACAGCCAGCCAGTTGAACATGTCGTGAATGGTTGCAGCAGCAAAAGCTCTTTGGAATTCTCTCCTGTCAGCTGACTGACCAAGTGAGACGAGTGTGTTGGTGACAGAGGTCCCAATGTTTGCTCCCATCACAATAGGAACGGCATCCTTCACTCTCAGCACTATGCAAATAGAAGAACATGTTACAAAATAGAACTAATGGGGAAAACTATACAGCCCTAAACTTGATGTCAATGAAGGAAATATGGGAGCTATATACACAGTTCATTTACATTAATGTGACCACCTGTCAAAAGCATTAACCAGGCGACTGCTGCGGAGGCCCATGAGCAGCAACGTTCGCTAAACCGTTATTGAGGATACACTCTTGGTAGCCCCGGTTCATCTGGGTGGTCAGTTGCTCAACAGTTGCACGTCTATTCACCCGAACGCATCTCCGTAGCCTTCGTTCGCCTCTGTCATCTATAGCCTGTGGTGCACCACATGTGCCACGCGATTTTGGATAGTGCCATTTTGCCATGCACGGTATACTTTTACCGTGGCGGCACGCGAACAGTTCACAAAATTAGCCGTTTCCGAAATGCTTCCACCCTTGGCCCGAAAGCCAATAATCATGCCCTTTTGGTCTACATGTAAACAGCATAACAAACCTTTTTAGGTTTACATTAAAAGGTTTTTGCTGAGTTAAAATAAACCTTATTTTGCTATCTGGGATATAATAAACTCTTACTTCGTGTCCTTCTGAACAGGTCTTAATACAGAAGGGCCCCTAGCCACATATATTTCAGGTCATGGCTTCCTATGCAATTCCTATGCAATGTGAGTGACCTATCTCACCTAAAAGTTTGTCGCAACACTTACGCGGCTCCCTGTTATACATTTTTAAACTTGTACATTTCAACAAAACATAGGCTGAGAATGTCATTTTGAAAAAGAGCCTGTAGCTTTAGGATCAAAACTAATTTCCGATTTGAAATCCCTACACCCGAAGTAAGCAAGATCCAGTATTTGTATAAATGCAACAAAAAATTTGTTTCTTAGTGTTATCAATAAGCAAAATTGAAATGCAATATGATTAAGACACTGAGCTGTCACTATGAAAGATCAGGGTTCGACCCCCGAAGACGGTTTGAAGCACACTCACAAGCGTCAGATCAACGTGTACCAACTCGCCTAAGAAGTAAAGCCTGTCCAGATGCAATGCTGAAAATATTACAGCCAGCATGAGGTCGGTCTTGAAATTGTGGAGCCCCGACGTCAACGAGACAACTGACTGTGGTTATGTATTTAATTGGAAACAATACTAAGAAATAGTTCGATTTGAAAAAAACATAGCCATTGGAAAAAGTGAGATTTTTCACTGCAGTGCTTCAAGTCATTTATACACATAAATTATCTTGCAAATTAAACTTAGCTGCCATGTTGAGATGCGTTTCTTTTTGTATAATTTCAATGCTATTTATCAGTCAACCTAATACAATCAAACCCCGCTACAGTGAACCTTCAAGGAGCCGAAATTTCGGTTCACTATATCCGTACTGTAAACAATTTTAACTAATTTTTCATAAAAAGAAATACAAAAATGGTAAAAAAAACAATATGTGGTAACGAAAAATGCGTTAACTTTTATTTTTTATCACTCTTCGTGTTGCGTACAAAAAATTTAGGGATCGGAAACTGAGATAGAAGAAGCAAACAGGAAAAAAATGCTTATAGCTACATACCACTCAATAGATGGTTTTAATATTCGCTATATGTATTTTATGTACTAATTTCAAAATTACCAAAAAATGAAGAAAAAAAATCTGTCGAAGACAGAAAAAAGTTCATAGTATCGAATTTCCTCATTTCTTTTGGCTCACTATATCCACAAAAAATAATATTATATGTGTATGGCAAGGCACGGGAGCAAGCATTTCGTTTACTATATCCGGGAGTTCACAATAAACCATGTTCACTATAACTGGGTTTGACTGTATAAACTTTTCTTAAATTATATATTTTTCATTATGTTTGGTATTACAGAAATAGTCTGCAACTTACGTCCCGAACCGACCATTGTGACGACTATTGAAGTGGAGGTGGACGAAGACTGGACTAGGACCGTAGCCAGGACGCCAATCATGAGGCCGACAACAGGATTCCTGAGGAGTTCGCTTTCAGAAAACACTCGTCCAGCTTGCCTGCCTCCCACTAATCGAAATGATGTGCTCAAAAGGTCCAGAGAGCAGACGAATATCCAGAGCAGCAGCAGAAGTATCAGGCCTTTTCCTATTCCCAGAAACACTCGCTTTGTTTTCTCTGCTATGGATAACTCTAAAAAAAAAGGGTTTAACTTTAGATATTTTATTAACAGTTGCAAGTTAAGAAAGTGATCTGTTGCAAGTTAAGAAAAAACTATTCCCCCTTCCTAGTGAGAGAGCCTCTTTGCATCTAAGTGTACGTACGCCAAGCTGCCAGCGCGGATGTATATCAACATCACCAACTCAAACGACATTGCATACTCTCCTTTTTGCCTGATTTCTTATTAGAAACAATAATCAATTAACAATTTTAGAAGAATTAATAAAAATGGTATTTAAAAATCGTAACAAATATTTGTCTTTCTGTTCGCGTGTAAAGTAACTGATAAAAGAATAACAAATATTGTTTCTTGCAGACGATTTTCTTCTACAGCGAAACAAAAGTGAAAAAAAAAACTTATCTCTCATTTAATTTGTTAAGAGAATGTCAGTACAAAAAGCGCAATTTTTAGTGGTCCAATCAAATCCAATGCTCTTGCAACATCATATAGTTGTTTCTTTTTCAAGAATGACTGTTCTCCGAAATATGTCGCCTAGAGTAGGATGCTAGAAAGACTACGAAACTATGACATTTTTTTTTTTTAATAAATCTCTGATATAAAGATAACTCGAACTAAATTTTTGTCTGCCGTGTTTAACTTTTAAAAGCTTTTATATTGTATAGAAAGCATATTTGTGCAATTTAATAACGAAATATAACAAAACTATACGGAGTCGTGGATTATTACTTAAATCCTATACCGCAATGGTCTTTTTTTTTAAAACTTACAACGGAGTATAGAATACTACTAGACAAAAGCATTTTGATGTATTACTTTTATGTATCAGTTCTTTCAAGTATCAGATACTAATCAGTGTCAAATAGTCTGAAAGTAAATACGCTACCACTTTTGCCTTGGATGATGTTGATCATATTCAGATTATTTTATTAATCAGTGATTCTACTAGACTTTTGAAACTATTGGTTCTTAACACTAGAGAGACTGAAATACCTATACTGCCCAAAAGCAGTCAAAATGACTACATTGTAAAAGAATAACTAATGTATAAAGAAATTTGTTTAAAATTAATTTTTAATGTTATTTTCAGTTATATAACAAGTTATTAGTAACTAGCAACAACAAAAATAATTATGAAAGTCGCAAAATTGTAAGAAATTGTGTCATTCATTACATACATCATTGTTTTTCTAATTGAAATTAAAAAGCAGTCAAAATGACTTCCTTGGACAATCTATTGTTACGAGCCGTTTCTCCCCTCGACCGAGCTCAACTGTCTGTAGGGGAGGGAAAAATCTAATTAAGATTTTAATTTTCCTTATTTTTTTTTTACATATAAACTGATAGTGGATAATTACTTTATTCGGCTTTGTCTTTCAATATATGTAAAATACAAAGCCGTCCTCTAATCAAATACAAAGCGTGCGGTAATTTAAATTCGCTTTCAATTTTTTCCCAACAGAATTATATTAATATTATAGCAATAAGTAGTTATAGGGGCAGTACCGGATTATCCATTATGCCAGACGAGGCCATGGCCTGGGGCCCCCAATGGTTAAGGGCCCCCTCAAAATTGATTTTTTGAAAATAAATTTTAAAAATTTAAGAAAGACAATTATTTTTTAAATCTAATTAAACAAAATAAAGTAAAATTTAATTTATTATTATTTTAAATATGCTTTCTTAAATGAAAAGATATATAAATACTTTTATATTTGAATAAATAAAAACTGCAAGAAAAAAAATTAATCTAAGGGCCCCAAAAATTTGAATGGCCTAGGGCCCCGCGTACGCTTAATCCGACCCTGTATAGGGGGGTTCTATGCATTTATTTGTATTTAAATTTTTGATAAATATATTTGTTTTTATACAATTTATTTTGCAAAAATCATCTACAGCTAATTTAAACAATTTAAATTATTATAAAATTAAGTTATAAAAGAATTTTAAAACTGATAATTGAGTAGTTTTAAATTACTGATTCCAACTCACAAGTCACAGATTTTTATTGCATTAAAGTTTTGGGGAAAATTTCATAGAAGTTCTAAAAATTATCGAGCTCTATTTCTCCTAATCTAATATTCCACCTTTTTTTTTTAAAGGTTTTGTGTTGCCAAATAATAGTATACCATCAAAAGTTTTTTAAGTACAAAAGAGCATCAAGAAGGAAATGAAAAACAAAAATTTAACCTAAAATACAAGATGACGTGGGTAGACGTCACTTAAGAAGGCGGACTTCTAACTTTTTGGGTCCATTTTTACGAAAAGCAAGATTTTTTTAAAAATATAAATCTTTTGTTCCCTTAATTAATATTCACATTTCCGCTTTATTAATATCCATTTCAGGGTCCTCACTAAGTATTCGCCATCTCGCCAAATGCAATAAAATCGTAAACTGGGCGAATAAAATAGTGTTTTGCCGCAGTATTGGCGAAGGATTTTTCCCACAGGAAAGAAAAGAAATAACTCGATTCTCAAAATTACGTCAAAATGAATTTTTCTGAACAAATCAGTATTTTTAATTAGATTAAAATTTTCGGTATCAGCGTTTCCTAACCAATTAGAATTGGGACCAAATAATATAAGCTTGAAACACAATACCGTAAAATACTTTTCTATGGGAAAAAAAGAATAATAAAATTTTTTTTAAATTTGCATATGGCGAAGACTTTCGAAAGTTGGCGAATACTTTCGTTATTTGGCTAATTCACTGGCTAAAAAATCCTTAGCGCGGGCCCTGCATCTTCATAAATATTCTATTTAATGATTGACAGCACAAAGAATTTTCATTTTTTTTATTTGAACAATCAAGTCTACTAAATAGAACTTATCAAACACCTGCACCAAGGAAAAGTAACGAAGTAACTCTAATTTTCGCGTTTAACTATTACATTTCATTTTATATTTTATACTCGGCGTTGTGAATAGTCGACCTAATTCTGAGTTTACGATAATCAATGTTCAACTCAGTAAGTAGTCTTGTAAATTTGAACCCAGCCCAGAAAACAAGGGAAATCTTTAATTAAGCATTGGGACAATTTTTTCGTGAAAAACGTTTTAATAGAACTAATCAACATTTTCTTTATATGGAAAACCTCCACCTGACACCAAGGAGACTCTAACATATGATCAGTCTATCACTGAGGATATTTTACGTCAGCACTATGGTCAGTGCGAGCTTGGTGCAGAATTCGTATCATCCAGCCACCGCTGGAATTCAAACCTGGGTCACCTTTGAGCCACCGTGGCTTTTCCTCAACAATTCCTTTAAAATTTCTTGTACATTTATGTTTAAAATTGCAATTTTACCAAGGCATGCTATTCTTTTCTTACCTTGGTTCAATAGTTACTGCCGACAATAACATAGACAATGAGATTCGGAGTCGTCTAATTTGTTCAAATAAAGCTTTTTATGGTTTGAAACGTTTTTTCAAATCCTCTCTTTTATCAAAAAATACAAAACTTTTACTCTATAAAACATTAATTAGGCCAATACTTACCAATGGCTCTGAGACCTGGAACCTAACTCAAGCTGGTGAAAATAAAATTGCCATTTTTGAGAGAAAAGTTTTGAGGGCCATCCTTGGTGGGATAAAAATAAATAATTCCTGGAGAAGACGATATAATACTGAACTGTATAAATACTACAAAGAGCCAGATATTGTGAAATTCATAAAAATAAATCGAATGAGCTGGGCAGCTCACATTTTCAGAAGGAATGATGACTCAAATTTAAAGAAAATCCTATTACATAAACCCCTAACGAACAGGAAAAGAGGTAGACCCAGGCTGAGATGGCTGGATTTAGTTGAGACTGATTTCCTTACTCTAAAGGAGAAAAACTGGCGAACAAGTGTCAAAAGTAGAGAGAAGTGGATTAGAATTCAAAGGAAGGCACTGGCCCACCCTGGGCTGTCTAGCCAGATATGATGATGATGATGCTATTCATTTTCGCATTGGAGAATTACGCTTCCACAGATACGCTTTCTATATCTTATTTTTTTTATCCTCTTTATGATTTTTAGAATATTTAACGCGATATAGCGTGTAAGCGGAATCACTGTCAATAATTTTATATCAGATGATCTACTGCAGATGGCTCATTAGCGGATCCCTCCATTGAATTGGACACTTGCAGCAAATCACATGGTTGTGCATGCGGTGTTAACGTTATAGCTTTAAGGTTCGGATTTATTATCACCGAATAAATTTTCGGATACGATTTAATTGGTAGGCGACGTCAGCGTTAATGTCGAACCTGGTTGGTTGACCCATGCGTGACGTCGCGTGCAGTTATCCAATTACCAACCATTCTGGTGCTGTGGAGCACAGAATTTATTTTATAACAAATCACTACGTTAGAAGATGTCTAAATAGAGTAATCAACCTCAATCGTAATCGTTTGTAACAAAATTAATTTTAATAATTTTTTTTCTTGTAGTAGATTGCAAAGTTAGCAGATCTCTTCATAAATTTATCAAATTTGCCCGCTTTACGTGGAAAACATTAACTTTTATTAATTTCTTCTAGCAAATCGCAAAGTAAGTGTTTTATGTTTCGATATAATTATCAACCATTTACATTATATAATAGAATTAATTTTATAATTATTTTGTATAGTAGATTGCAGCGTCAGAAGATGTAATCGTAGAGTAATCGACCACATTCACATATTGTGTAATTGAATCAATTAATTTCAAGAATCACTTTAAGTATAATGCAACGTAAACAGATTAAGTCTCCATAAAGTTATCGACCATTTTCGTTATGAAGTAAAATTAATTTTATAATAAATTATTCTAAACTGCGAAAAGTAAGGATAATTAAATTGAGAAAAAAACCCAATTAATTATAAATTAAAAATTTTGAAATTTTTAAGTTTTACAAAAATTGATTAGCATTGATTATGCGATTAAATGTCATATTTAATTAATTTAAGAAAGAATTATATTTTAAAAATTAACAGTAAATTATTAATTATAGTTAATTATTTTTTCAAAATTAATTATTTCTC